AGGATCCACATTCAATTCCCAACATCCACACGATAGCTCATAATTGTCTATAACTCCAATCTCAGGGAATCTGATGTCCTCTTCAGGCTTCTCTGGATACCAGCCATACACACAGTGTAGGCATACATGCAGACAAAAGACCCATACATTCATACACATATACATAAAGTAAGAGATGCAGCAAGAGTGGCAGTACAATGTCTGTAACCCCAGCATTGAAAGAAGTTGAGTGGAGCATCATCTGTTCAAGGCAGCCTGTGGTACACAGAGGCGCCACAGAAAGGTGCAAAAAGCACATCAAATGTAGCTTAGTTACTTTTCTATTGCTGTGATAAGTAGTACATCATGATGAAAGGAACATACAAACCCACCTCAAAACTGGGGACCAAGAATATGAAACCCTGAGGACTATTCTTATCCAAACAACCACATTTTCCATGTAGAAGTACATGAAAACAGGGATGCCTACACAGTAACATTATTAGCAAGTATTTTTTAGTAAAAATATATATACATATAATTTAATAAACATATAAAATGGAAATTAGTGAGGTAAGAATCAGTAAGGGCACAGGACACGTAACTCATTCATATATGGGGAAATTAAATGTCTTCAAAGATAAAAATAATTTTCCTTTCAATTGAGGCAGGCCAATTCATGGTGTGATCTCTACTATAAATGTTAGCACAATGAAAAATCAAGTCAATCACCTACTTTAAACTAATTTTTCTTGGGTTCATGAATCTACATTCTGGGTGGACTTGGCAAGGGCACATCTTTGTAGATAGAGGGCTTTGGAAGGGACCTGGAGGTTCTGCAGTTGTGATAGACAGCTCAGCACATGGCTGGCAAGCTGAGGTTATATGTCTGCTGGGAATTCAGCTGGGGTTAGAACCAGGGACTTCAATTTCTCTTACACAAGCCACTCATGACTGCTTGGCATCTCATAGCATAGCAAGGTAATTAAGTTCTAAAAGGAATGGTCTAATCCCCAAATTCCCTAAATGTTACTACAGTCACATTCTATTGGTGGTGGCAGTTACAAAGGAATGCTCTGGTTAAAAGACAGGACATGGACACGAAAGAAGTGCTGTGGTCACAGTCCAAGTAGAAGATAAGGGATAAAAGACATAATCTATCAGAAGATAACAAAGATGACTTTTAGTTAGTCATGTTCATTGGTTGTTATTAAGTAGGCTTTTCCTATAAAAAGCACAGCAGACAGGAGAGATTTCACACACTTTTAATCCTAGCACTGAGAGGAAGAAGCAGGTGGATCTGATGGAGTTTGAGGCCAGTCTGGTCTACAAAGTGAATTCTAGGCCAGCCAGGGCTACATAGTGAGATCCTGTCCCCAAAACAAACAAAACAAAAACAAAAAAGAATAAAGAGATTAAAGCAATAACTAGTTTTTCCTCCCAGTGACTAAAATGAATCTAATGGCCTGTTAGTATCTTCAGAGTCTAATGAGTTAAAATTACAAAGAGGAGGAATGATTAGATATTCCCCACAATAGTCATTAAAAAAAATGAAAACCAGTGATCTTTCTCCAAAAATTAAACACACTGAGTTGGACAAGTTTTTTGATACTAAATAAGTCTACTGCCTTTACCTAGCAGATACTAAAGAACAGGCTCTCTCATTTATTTTTCAATTGAGACTCAGGTGTGATGGCTATTATGGTTGTCAACTTGACTACATCTGGAATGAACTGAAATCCAAAAATGGAGGGCATACCTATGAGGGATTTGCTAAATTTCAAGTGGAAGATCCACTTATGATTTGGATCTTTTGAATGGGGAAAGAACATGCCTTTAATCTTTTTTTCCCCTTTTCCTTTATTTGGTTTTCCGAGACAGGATTTCTATTTGTAGCTTTGGAGTCTATCCTGGATCTAGCTCTGTAGGCCAGGCTGGCCTCGAATTCTGATTAAAGGTGTGCACCACCGCCACTCTGATCTTGAGTTGGGAAGACACACCTTTAATCTGGGCCACATCTTCTACTGGAAGCCTATATAATATAAGGCATGGAAGAAGAAAGCTTTTGCTCTTTGACCACTTGATCTCTCACCATGCTAGCAAGTCCATTCCTTTACTGGCATTGGAGCTTACTTCTTCAGGATTCCAACATCTACTGAAGACCAGCCAAGACACCCAGCCTTGTGGCATGAGCAACTTCTGGATTCCTGGACTTTCTATTCACAGCTAGCTAATGTTGAATTAGCTGGACCACAGCCTTTAAGTCATTCTAATAAATCCCCTTTCTATGTATATAGAGATTCATTCTATAAGTTCTGTTACTCTGGAGAACCCCAAACTAATACATCAGGAAAGCTGCTTTTAGTAAAATTCTAAAAGGAAAGAATTTTCATTCATTCATTTCGCTCTGTTGCCACTAAAGTAAAAAACCCGTAAGTCAGAGTGAAGAAAAAGCTAAGGCACTTGCAGACTGTTTCAAAGGCAGGTTTCCTGGCAGAGAACAACATATTACACAACCAATGTTGAAAAAAAAATGAATGAAACCCCTAGGGCATGTAGAAAAGAAGACAAATGACTCACAGTCTGCCAAAGCCTAGGGGATTTCACCAGCACATGGGAATATACACTCTTCTAATGTTCCGCAAAGACTGCCCTTATATATAAGCTGCCAGTCATTTCTGTAAACTAGAGCAAGAAATGCCTGCAGAGATGTCTGTTCAGGTGTTTGATGGGGGATGTCCTTCTGTATATGTTTCTCTGTATTGGTTTCTCTTATTGGAATAAAACACTGTTTAGCTAATAGAGGCAGGAAGATAGATGGGGCTAGGAGATGAGGAGAATTCTGAGAAAGGACGCAGAGAGAGAGTGGAAAGAGATACCACGTAGCAGGCAAAGGAGTAACAGGTCCCAGCATTTTCCAGTAAGCCAAGACCACGTGGAAATACTTACATTAATAGAAATGGGTTAATAATTAAGAGCGAGCTAGCCAGTAAGAAGTCCTAGCCACTGGTCAACAGTTTTATAATAATACATGTCTCTGTGTGCTTATTTAGGGCTTGAGGGTGGTGGGACCTAGCAACAGGTGTTCCCAACATACTGAGGCAAAAGGAATTCTTTTCTTTTCTTTGGCAAAGTAGAGCTGGTGCAAAATATGGAACGCTTCATGAATTTGTGTGTCATCCTTGCACAGGGGCCATGCTAATCTTCTCTGTATCGTTCCAATTTTAGTATATGTGCTGCCGAAGCGAGCACAAAAAGGAATTCTTTTCAAGAGTAAAAATTCTGTGGACTACCATATGATCTATGAAAAAAATCAGGAAGGACACAGTACCATGAACGAGAACCTCTACTAATTTTCATTTGGATTTTGTTGTAAGGGCATTCATATAAAATAGTATGTTGAAAAAATAACTGACTGGGGTAAATTTCTTAGGAGACATCAAGTAACTATCAATTATTGGTAAACATTTGCATATATTTGAAAAAATAAGACTGGGTGTAAAGGTATACACCAATAACCCTAGCACTCAGAGGCTGACAAAGGAGGATGGCAAGGCCACAGAGTAAAAAACCCTGTCTCAAGAAAGGAGAAGGAAGTGAGGGCTGGGAGATGGCTCAGTGGGCAAAGCACCTACAATACAAGTTCTAATCCCTAAACATACAGAGCTGGACACAGAGGCCTGTGTTTGTGATCCCAGTGCTCCTATGGCAATATGGGAGAAGGAGAAAGAAGCAAAGGTCCCCAGCTCACAATCCAGCTAGATTGGCAATGAAGCAACCCACATCAAAGAGAGCCTGTCTCAAACAAGATGGAAGGCAATGGTCAACACTGGAGACTGTCTGTCCTCTTACATAGAAATGCACAACATGGCACTTACCCACTTGTACTCACATGAACATGAAAACAGATACATACATGTACCCACATCACAAATATGTATGAATATACACCATTCACACAGAAAAAATGAGACAGAAGACACTGTGACAAATTTTTCATTGTTTCTAGATTTATTTTGTGTGTGCGCTCATCTGTATGTATGCACAAATGCACAGCACATGTGTGGAGGTGAGAGGACAACTTACAGGAGAGTTGGTTCTATCCTTCCATGGGTTCCAGGGATCCAGCTCAGATCACCAGGCGTGGCAGCAAGCACCTTGATCCACTGAGCCATCTTGCTAGTTCTCTAGAATTTTTTTTTTTTTTTTTCAAGACAGGGTTTCTCTGTGTAGCTTTGGAGCCTATCCTGGCACTCACTCTGTAGACCAGCTGGCCTCTAACTCACAGAGATCTGCCTGTTTCTGCCTCCTAAGTGCTGGGATCAAAGGCAGGCACCACTGCCTGGTCACATATTCTTACTTAATTAAAAATGTAAGAATTCACTACCTAGTTGAAAGTTTTCACTTTTTATTTTTATTTTTTTAAGACAAAGGTCTCCTTTTCTTGTGTATCTCTGGCTGGTCTAGAACTCACTACATACATGGCCTTGAACTTACAGAGATCCTCTTGCCTCTGTCTATCTAATTCTGGGACTACCTTCCTAGTACTGGTACTAAAGGCTACCACACCTGGCTCAAGACACTAATCGGTTCCAGGCCAGCCAGAGCTATAAATTGTGACCCTGTATTAAAAAAAAGTCAAGGAGGTCTGGTAAGGCGACTGTGGGACCCCTACCTCTCTTTGCTTTCATGCTTCCTGGCCATGAGATAAGCAGCTTTGCTCTACCACACCATGTGTTGCCAGCCCTAAAGCAATAGGACCAGCTGATCACAAACTGAAACATACAAAACTGTGAGCAGGGGGAAATAAAACAAAACAAACCTTTTCTTTTTAAAAGCTAATTACCATCTCAGGTATTTGTCCCAGTGACAGAGAAGTTGACTAATGTGAAAGCACATATGTTTTCAAGGCCTTGTGGAAAGTATAGAACTTAATAGAACGAGGGTGATGAAAGAACACAAAGAGATATCTAGCATTCAAGTGAAGTGTTTCCACAACAGGTTTATGAAAATCCATGCACCTTTCCTTTTGCTTAGTTTGTGTCGAAGATGGCCATTTCAAAGCTGACTGCAGCAGAAGGAACCGTCATATCTAGCACTATGGAAGCTCTGACAGGGCTGGAGCACTTGGGAAAACCTGGAGTGAAACAGAAAGCAGGACTACAGATGGCTGGACTGAGGTTCTTGCAGGGTTCTCTAGAGAAACAGAACAAACAGACTTACTAGAAGGAACTCACTCATGTAACATTGAGAAATCTGAGATTAGCAGTTAGCTAACTAGAGACCTGGAAGAGCCAATGGTGTGGCATTAATCCAATATGAAGATGAGGAAATAAGGACAGCTGATGGGACAATAACCCAAGGGCAAAAAAAAAAAAAAAATCAAATTAAGAGCCAAGGTTTTCGGTTGAACCCAAAGTCAGATATCAGGCAGGAGTTATGCCTAATTGTATTCTCTCTAGGTCTTCAAAGGATTAGATTATGGCATGTGTTTTACTTGGTCTATTCACACAAATGTTCATCTCAAAAACTAGGCATAGGGGCATACTCTGGTATTCCCATTCCTCTCGAGGCAGAGGCCATAAATTCAAGGTCAGCCTAGTATTGCTACTGAATTCCAGGCTAGTCAGGATATAACAATACTCTGTCCCAAAAAGCAAGCAAGCAAACAAAATAACCAAAATTAATCTTACCAGATATACTTATAGGATGCTCTGGGATCACACATCTGGGGACCTGTGATCCTGTCAGGCTGACCCATGAAGTTCATTACCATCACTGTCTTATTTCTTTCCAGACAGTCAAGATGGCACTGAAATGAATTTGAAACCTAAAGCTGGGCATAATGGCTCACACCAGTAATCCCAGCATCTGAGAAGGTAGGAGGTCATCCTCAGCTACATAGGGAATTAAGAAACCAACAAAATCCTGTCCAAAAACAAGCAAATAAGTAAATTCTTAAAATCTGGTACTAAGTAAACAAGTACCAGGCAGAGGACTCTTTATCTCACACAAGCAGCGATCTCCTCTCCCCCACCCCCCAGTCTGTGGAGTGAAACTGTGACGTAAAAAGTCAGCTCTGAAGATGCCATGTCACTGCCTGAAACGGAACTGCCCTTCAAAGCCTTAAAGAGTGCTCTGGGCTGTAGTGCCACTCAGTTTCACACTTAGCATTCCCAAGGCCATGAATTCCACCCCTAAGAAAAACCTGCTTTCAAAATATAATATATTTTTTATTGTTCTAAACACACAAATATCGTCGTATGTGTGCAAAAGCATCTGGCCAGTCAGAGAACTATAAAAGAGCACTCAAAGGCTGAGTCCTTTGGTTACAGGAGAGCCAGTGCTAGAAGAAAGGACTCTTCAAGGAAAATTACAGGGGTCAAGGTGTAGGCCAGACTACAGTCATCTCCACACCATTCTACATAGGAGGATCCCATCCAAGCTCATTCATGTGGTTGCAAGCAGAAAGGCTGCTAGCAGGCTCACTCTTGTGGTGGGTGCTAAACCATGTGTCTTCCCCACTTGTCTGTCCCATGGACATCCTAGTTTCTATCATTTCAGAGCTGCCTCACAACGTGGTCTCTTCCAGAGACAGAGACAGACAGAGGAAGACAATCTGAGAAGTGACACCTTACCATGTCAGCTGTCTTCTCTAGTCATTAGAAGCATGCTACCAAATCCAGCTTACACTTCACGGGAGGAGAGTTCAGAAGGACATAAAAATGACTTTGCATACATCTTTTTAAAATCACCAGAGGGGCTGGAAAGATGGTTCAGCAATTAAGAGCACTGGCTGATTTTCCAAAGGGCTTGAGTTCAGTTCCCACAGTGCAGCACATATTCTATAAAACCACCAGAGAGACCTAAATAATCTAAGGAAAATAAAAGAAGTCAAGCTAGGAATAGTGATACTCTTTTCTAGTCCCCCCTATTCCAGAGGCTGAGGCAAATGGACTCTTGAGCCAATGAGTTCAAGACTATACCAACAAAGCAGTATCTTATGCCAGAAACCAACCAACCAACCAACCAAACAAACAAACAAACAAAACAAAACCTGGGTAAATTCTTAAGACATCAACAAAAAACCAACCAACCAACCAACCAAACAAACAAACAAAACAAAACCTGGGTAAATTCTTAAGACATCAACAAGGGGAGGGGTTACAAAGATGGCTCAATGGTTAAGAGCACTAGCTGTTCTTCCAGAGGACCCAGGTTTGATTCCCAGCACCTATATGGTGGCTCACGAGTATCTGTAACTCCAGTTTAGGTGATCAACACCTTCTAGCCTCTGTGAGCACCAGGCATAAATGTGAGTTCACAGACATAAATACAGGCAAAATATGCATACATAATAAAAATAATAAATAATAAAGTAACAAAAAAAAAGAGAAAGACATCGATGGATCCTTTTTTTTTTTTTTTAAATCCTGACCACATTCATCAATCCCCAAGTCTCCTTTTCTTTCCCAAGGGAGGTTTATGTTTGCTTCCTGATAATATAAATTTCTTGAGGAAACTGTGACCAGAGAAAGGAGAGAACTGGCAGACATGGTTGTCATGCCTATTATCCTCACCTTAGGGATACAGGCCAGCCTGGGGTACACAGTACAAGAAAATTGAAGGTTATGTCATCAATCAGGGGAAGGGATCCTTAGAGATGTTGTAAATAGAGGAGGTCTGAAACTGTAGTTCCCAGGAGTACTAGACAAACAGCACAATTGCATAGGGAAATAAGTAAAGAAAGCTAAAACCCTGATTACAAAACCCCTGGGCCAGAACCCATTGGAGATTGTGCCCTGAGGCTGCCCATGACCATTACATATATCAAACTCCATAGATCCATTTTAGTCAAGCATTTCATCACTGTGACCAAAAATACCCAAAATATTAATTCAAAAGGAGAAAATATTTACTCTGGCCCATGCTTTGGGGGATGACTTTAGTTCATGGTTACTTGGCCAATTTATTCACTTTGGGCCTGCTGCAGCATAGTACATCATGACAAGAGTGCACATTCATCTCACAAGACCAGGAAGCAAAGAGATAGGAAGGACTCTGGCGTCCAAAGTCCCCTTCAAGGACATATTTCTACTAGATCCCACTTTGTATAGGTTCTATCATCAATATAAGTACTAAGTCTTCAACAGAGGACTTGAGTGGTACATTCAAGAATCAAACTGTAGCTACATGGACTGAAAACTAACGTACCCTTCCTTTAGTTACTTATGGCTTCTCAAATTCTTTTTTCTTTTGGTTTTTTAAGACAGGGTTTTTGTAGTCTGGCTGTCCTGAAACTCGCTCCGTAGACCAGGGTGGCCACAGAGATCCACCTGCCTCTGCCTCCAGTATCTGGGACTGTAAGCATGCACTACCACTGCCTGGCTCAAACTTTTATATAATCTTCCCCGCGCCCCCCCAAGACAGGTTTCTCCATGGCTTTGGAGGCTGTCCTGGAACTAGCTCTCGTAGACCAGGCTGGTCTCGAACTCACAGAGATCCGCCTGCCTCTGCCTCCCGAGTGCTGGGATTAAAGGTGTGCGCCCCCCACGCCCGGCTTTTTTTTTTTTGAAATTTTTATATAATCTTAACAAAGGATACTTATACCAGGTGGTGTTGGTGCACACCTTTAATCCCAGCACTCGGGAGGGGTCGCACACGTATGCAGATCTCTGTGAGTTGGAGGCCAGCATGGCCTACAGAGCGAGTTCCAGGACAGGCTCCAAAGCTACACAGAGAAACCCTGTCTCAAAAAACAAAAACAACAACAAAAGAAATGTCTTCAAATAATATCTGAAACCTGTAACAGGGTTTTTGCAACCTTGCTACAATCTACCTATAATAGACCTCTTTAAAAAAATATGTTATTTCTATTTTTGTGTGTGTTGCCTCTATGCACACAAAGGGACTGGAGCTTGAGTTACAGATGGTTATGAGTCGCCATGTGGGTGCTGGGGATTGAACCTGGGTTCTCTGCAACATCAGAGTTCAGGCATGGTAGTGTACATCTCTAATCCCAACACTCTGAAGGCTAAGGCAAAAAAAGTGAAACCAGAGCTGGGTGGTGGTAGCACATGTCTTGAATCCTAGCACTCAGGAGGCAGAGGCAAGCAGATCACTGCAAGTTCAAGGCCAGTCTGGTATACATTGTGAGCTCTAGGACAGCCAGAGTTACATAGAGAGACCCTGTCTCAAAAACAAAATAGCAAGAAGTTCAAGACTTCCCTGGATCACCTAGCCTGATCTTATAAAAAAATAAAGGAAGGAAAGAGAAAGCAATTAAAGTCAGAGGTTAAATATTTTGTCTAAGTGTTCAATGTTATTACTTAAAAACATTGTAATTCAAACTTTAGTTCATCATTTGTCTCAGCATTATTGACTTTCTAAAAATGTTTTATTGTTTATATACAGGGACTGGTTATATATAGTCAAGTTGGCCTTGACTATTCAATCCTCTTTCCTCTGAAGCCTGGAATTACAGGCACATAGACACTGCTGATATTTGAGCTAGGTAACTGAGGCAGCTGTCACGGCATTGCAGAGCGTATAGCAGCATTCTCCCACCCACTAGATACCCAAAGCTCTAACAACCAAATGCTTCCAGACTCTGCCAAATGTTCCTTAAGAAACAAAAATCTCCTTCAGTTGATGTGTTAGCTAGGGACAAGAAACAGACTACCAAGACCCATTCCCTTCAACTAGTCCACATCCCCATATGTTTTCATGAACTGCTAACAGTGTATCAGACTATGAACCCACTGACAAATTAACCTATCAGTGCAAGTCGGAGTCCGCATGATCCAATCACTTCCTTAAATTCCCTCTTCCTCTCAACACTGCTGCATTGGGGATCCAGCTTCAACACATGAGCCTTTGGGGACATTTCAGATCCAAACCATTAACAGTTGAGAAGCACTGCTTTTTTCCGATGTTCATCTCTGTCATTCCAACAGTCACACTATCACCAAAATTAGCCTTCTTGACCTGCAGAGACTACAAATGTCTGGAATCTACCCTTATCACCAGAAAGCAGAGTTAACTACAAATCCTTTGTATATAAACAAAGTTTTCACACTGTCTCATATTTCAGTGTGTTTTCTCCAGTATGGCCCGCCATATATCACTATGTCTACATCTCAAGAACCCAGAATCAGAAAGGATTCCAATAGAACTCCAATTTGTTTCTCAACAAATTACATATACCAGAGCCTAGAGAGGTGGCTCAGCAATTAAGAGCACTTACTGCTCTTCCAGAAGATCTGAGTTAGTCCTCAGTTCACACTGAGAGGGGATCTAATGCCCTCTTCTAGCTTACATGAGTGCTAACCTGCATTTGAACTCATGTATGTGAACACACACAAAAATAAAAACAAAATAAATCTAAAAAAAAAAAAGATGCTCGACATTCTAACTAGTTACAGTAATAGAGACATCTTTTGGGCCAGTGAAATGACTGACTTTCTGCCAAGTCTGATGACAACTGGAGTTTGATCTGCTGAAAGGGAAGAGCCAACTACCTCCACATTTACACAGTGCTATGCACAAACACACCAAAAACTGTAATTTTTAAAACGGCATCATTGCATGCATGCATCATCTATCTATCTATAGATCATGCTGGGGGTTGGTCCGTCTGTCTGACGTGCTGGGGATTTAACCAGGACCTTGCACAACTGACTAGATTTCAGCAATGTGAATTCTATCTATATAAACTGGACTTTGTTCTAAATAGGATCTGAAAGATTTCTCCATCTCAAAACTAAAGCATTACTAACAGGTATGTTGAACCACCTAATTTTCAAAAACCAGAGAGAGATCAACTTTCCTAATTTGAATCTCCTTTCAGTCTAATTCATCTACTAGAGACATGCAATCATATCACATGACTTTCAACCATCAAGTCCCCAGCTCACAGGAACCTCTTTCACTAGCCATTCATTTGTTAGCACACTAGTTTACTGAGCTATCTGTCTATCAGTACAAAGTACAATGAATTTTGAACATAGTACTAGGTAGAAAGATGAACTAAGATGAGTAAATGAAAGTTTAAAATTAATAGCAGTAGATCAGCAGGTGCCTTTGGAGGTGCCTCAGTTCTGCTTAGACTGAGAAGCATTCTAAGGAATAATCCTTAAAAATTCATTATGGATGGCTGGGGAAGGCCTCATATCTAAGAGTATATAGCAGTATAAACTGCACTTGGGGGAGAAATACAGACAAGCATGTACACACAAAATTGGGTGGTCTGGGAAAGGGGGATGGATCTGGAAAGAGGGGTTGAATACAATCAAAATACATTATTCAAAATAAAAAATGAGGACAAGTGTGCTGAAAAGATGACTCAGTAGTTAAGAGTACTGACATCTCTTCTTAAAGACCCACCAGGTTCAATTCCCAGCACCCAGATGGCAGTTCACAGCTGTCTAAACACCACCAGATCCAAAGCCCTTTTCTGGCCTCTACAGGCACCAAGAATGTACATGGTGCACTGGTTTTCATGAGTTCTTTTTTACTTGGAGCTTACTGTGTCCAGAAATTTCTGTGCCAAGCATTATACCAGGAACTTTGTAATCCTGGGACTGTTGAACTAATTTTCTAGTTTGCTCCCTTTGAAGCGGCGCCCCCTCCTCCCTGCCCCCAGCCTCGGAAAGAAACCCTCTTTCACCCCTAATGGTACTGAGGATTTAGCTCAAGGCCTCATGCATGCCAAGAAAAGACAACAAGTGTGGGAAAGAATCTTTACTCAAGACACAGCGGATGGATTGGGAAATATTTACAGAGTGAACACTCTTATACATTATCTTAGCCACAGTTTATGAACTCACATGCATGTGAGAGGAGGTGGATTCACATTCAGCCAAAATCATCCCAAGTACGTATGTGTATAGGCAATTATAGGAGCTAAAGAGGAGAGCCCAGGGAAGGAGAACTGGATGGAGAAAGCCTCACTGAGGATGTGATGCATGTGCTAAGTTTTAAAGAAAAGAATAGAGTGAAAGTACCCAGAAAGAAAGAATAATCATGTACAAAAATTAAAGAAGAAAGAAGAAAAGTTCTGGAAATGGCAAACAGAAGATACATTCAACAGTTCACTCATCTTGGCTTACCAGATTTCAGGTCCATCAGAGAGAATTTCTATGGCTACAGCACTAACAGTGGCTGGAAAGGCAAGTAGAAGTGAAATAGAGACAGTCCTCAGATGCTACACTTAGGTTAAAAACTCTGAATTATGTTGAACACAAAGATGAAAAACATGAGGCTCCTACACAAGGAATACATGATCAACTTGAGGAAATTGGTCAGGAGGCTACTATAAGAAAGAGTCAGGCAGTGGGGTAATGAGAAATAAACTAGGGCCATCATAAAAAATAAATAATACAGCTTTGTAACTTTTTTTTCCTTTGGTTTTTTTGAGACAGGGTTTCTCTATATTGCTTTGGAGACTATCCCAGAACTCACTCTGTAGACCAGGCCGGCCTCAAACTCACAGAGATCCACCTGCCTCTGCCTCCTGAGTGCTGGGATTAAAGGTGTGAGCCACCATCGCCTGGCAGCTTTGTAATATTTTTATTTCTAGTTACCACCATTAGAAAAAGTTAAAAATAAATGTTTATTTATGTGTGTGTGCATGCATGTATGTATGTACACATAAATGTAGTGGACTTATATTGCTGGTAGGTCAGAGATGAGGGAAGAGATAAGTAGATTCACACTTCAGACTATAAGAAGCCTATTTTATGGCATAGTCTACAAAGAAACAATAGGCTAAGCAGTAACTAGAGTACTGCCAGCTATAAAAATAATTTTAGTAATATCAAAAACTACATAATTTAGTTCAGTGAGATAACTCAGTGGATAAAGACACTTGCCATAATGCCTACAACCTGAGTTAAATCCCTGGAGCCCACAAGATGAAAGAACGGACTCTTGAAAACTGTTCTCTGACCTCCATATTTCTACATACTCACACATATATGCATGCATGCATGCATGCATGCATGCATGCATGCGCGCGCGCGCACGCGCGCGCACACACACACACACACACACACA